GGGGGTGGCATTTATTGGTCAGTCAGATATTTTAAGAATCTCCCTCCTCCCTTCATGAGAGGAAGGCAAAAAAAAGAAAGAAAAGAAGCATATTTTCCCAGAGTATCAGTTAACGCCTTGCTAAGCACCCAGGTAAACGATTCAGAGGCACAGAAAGGAGTAGGAGTTCATTGAATGAGGTATAGCTCTCGGCTCTGCTTCCCAAGTTCACAGACGGGTGACGAATTAAGCTGGAGACGTTTTTTTCCTCAAGGTGGGGGTCTGGAGCAGATATACAGACCGTGTTCTGTGGGGTCAAGATGGCAGGCGGCTGGAGACGGGCAGCAGCCCCCACACGACCCGCAACCAGGAGGAAAAAATAGATCGATGGAAGTTCTTCTGATCCCTCGCTCTGCTGGGTCGCTTATTTGAGGAGGTCAGAGATATTGTGGGATGTACGACTGCCTGTGGAACACCAGTTTCAACAGAACTCCATTTGACAAATTTCTGATTATCCATTTTACATCAGGCGCAGACCTGCCATCATCGGTTTTAATCAACTTTGACTTACTTATTATTGATTAAAACCAGCGCGTTTGTGTATTGGTTTATAAAATTACATTTTCAACCAAAAATATGTTAAATGGGGAAGTTATGTCCCCTTAAAAGCAGTTGCGCCTCGGGACTTCCCCACCGGTTCTATCATTCTTTTACGTTACAGATCTGTTTTAATATATATGACTGAAAATGTATAAATATGCCTAAAAACGGACGAAGGGAGAACCTGAAGCGGAGGAGAGATAATGTGCTTTTCTTTGTGCTTCCCCAGAGTTTAATTAAAAACGCCCCAGTGGCGCTGAAAATGGCTAACTTTGAGTGTCTTTCCTCGCTAACAGCATCCACACCAAAGGGTGTGATTTGGAGTGCCACCTTTTCACACATGGGGTGCGTTTCCTGGGTAAACAAAGACACCAGCCAATCAACTGTCAGGGCTGATTTCTCTCTGCAGCTCAGGTCATAACTATTAAAGCAGCAGATCAAAGATGGCTTTGGCACTCAGAAATAAACGGAGCGGCAGAGACCTGGAAGATGACGAGTTAATCTATTGCAGACAGTTTAACCTCTACAGATCTCTTTAAAACACTTTGTTTCACTAACTAAAAGCTGATGGGTTGCTGCTTTAGAATTGATTTACTCCACAAGCGATGGAAGCAGAATTTAAAATCCTTGTTTGTACTTATAAATTCGACCAATAATCCCTGCCCTGAAATTATACCAGTAATTGGCGTCAAGATAAGAATATTTAACAAAATGGAGTCATTTGAATCCTCTTGGACATTTGATGTCGGTTCTTCGATGAGGGTCGCTCTAAGCCCGCCCATTTTTAAATGAATGTTAGGTTTATTCAATGATGATTAATAAAGTAATGTGTGTTCATATGAGACATTGTAGAAATGAGATGCTCCACTCCTGTCTCATGATTCAGTCAGGAGGCCATCCTGCCTTGTCATTCTAGTGGAGCGTCCTGTCTTTATGAACTGATCAATTGTTCTGTCAGAACAATACTCTGTTTGTAACCATGTGTCATGTTGTGTTAATAAAACGCTCTGCGGAGGAGGTCCAGGGGGAGTCAGTGTGTTTGAGTCTCGGGTTCAACTGTCTCTCCTTCTGCAGAAGCCGTATGAAAATGCATTTCTGTGTATTTCAGTTCTTTCTTTTACAAACCCAACAATGAAGACGAGATCCAAGCCAAGTTACGATTTGGAGGTGTACGGCTGCGTCACTTTTACCGTTGGCTGTTCAACGCGGCTGGTATAAACCTAGCATAAGACCAGGAAATGACGACTTCTTCCAAAGCTTTTTGGTGTCTTTGCATGCTCTGTCTTTCTAAATGTTTCTTGAAGAGAGATCGTGAAACTCACTCATTCCTGCAAATCTCACCATATGAAACCAGTTCAGAAGGCGTGGTTTCCTCCAAAATGTTAATCCGTCATCCGTCTGTAGTACATGTCCATAAACAAAGTGTAGGTAGTTAAGGTTGTGCCTTTTTCTGACTGACAAATATCGCCACCCAACTTATTGGCTGAATCCTGAGACATTAACAGTACCAAGGCTACTGTTGGAGTGTTTCCAATATACAGATGAAAGCAGCGTAAAGAACCGATATGAGCAGAAGAATAAAAAAGACAACAGTCTGTTAGAAAACGAGGTGAATCTGAGAGGTTCCTTTCACTACATTCTTGGTATATGTGCATAACAGACATGCGAGGTGTCGTTTTGAAATATGTGCTGAGACTTACTTTAAAGAGGGGTGTTTTTTTTTGGACAGGTGGATCTGTTAACCGTTTACACTTAAAGAAAAAGAACAAAATATGGAAATAAGTGTACAACTGAAATGGCATGCACCTCGGTAGGTATGATCCGGCTGAACAGACCAAAAAAGAAAAGACTTTGTACAAAACAATGACAATAAGGAGGAAAAGGTAAGTGCCCTAACGACCAGTAAGGGTCGAGGAGCATTTGATAGATTTCGTTTGGCTTTTGGAGGACTTTGCCCCTCTTAGGGGAATTCACTCTAAGTGCTGGTTGAATTTGTCCATGCAAATCAGTGCATTTCATGCCAATTTAGCTGATTCTTCACATTTGTTTTTATGCTTTATATACATTACATTAAAAGTGGCTAAAAAGAAGATTTTTTTTTACCTTTGTTTTTATTCTCTTTAACAAAGGAACAAGCCCAAACATCAATTTAGTTTTCTAAAACTAACCCTCACGGCTGGTTTGGGTGGGCAGCATGTTTCCCCTCAGATCAGTGCATTGTCCTACGCCGGCTCCGACTGGATACACGCAGCGGCCTTTTAGACACTTTCAACGCTTTGCGTTGTTAAGTGTTGGATGCATTTCATGCAGGATCGTCTGAAGCCCGATGTGGGGAACCAATAACCACAAAGGGGAGGGGACGCGATTGTAGATCAATTCCAATTAGATTGTAACTCGTTTACAGTTCACACATATCATGGTAAAGATTAATTATTCGATGCTCTAACAATAACACTTAACGCAAAACTCAGCCAAAATAAAAGCAGTGCATGCCATTTAGAGAGAAAATAAACAAATAAATAACAAAATACATTTGCAAAGTAGTGAATCATCAATCATCAGACTGGGAGGGGGGCGGCAGGCAGCGTCCAAAGCAAAGAGCGACATTTCAATGAGAGGAGGGGGAACAATGAGACGCTACACTAAAACAAACTTGTTCCAGCTCTCCAACTTCAGCACGGAGGTTTGGGTTCGGGCTGCAACTTTTGGAAAGTCGTCATACACTAAAGCTTTATCCAGCCCCGCTCATCGCTCTCTGCTCCGTCGGCTTTAAAGAAGAGCTACACTACATGCATAACCTCAAACTTGTTTTACTCTTGGAGAAAGTGCTATTTTAGTTCAGCTCAACAAGTTCGATTCACAAAGCCGGCGTTCAGCGTATTTTTCCTGTTCTTTCCTGTCTCGGTAGCAGGTCTACTCTGCGATGGCACCGCCACAGTAATTGAAAAGAAAGAACTTTGTGAGAGGCCCGTCCTGTCCTCCTCTCGGTCTACTATAGGTCCAACGAGAAATCACCGTGTTAGCAACCCACGTCTTCTGTCTCAGTTACCCTGAGTTAAAAATGAGAAGAGAAAACAAAAAAAACAAACAAAAAAAACCCCTAAAACACCCAGAATCATGGATTGGCTTTTACATAATCAGTCACAATAACTTAAAATATATTAAAATCTGCCTCTCCCCCACCTAACAACTAACCCCTCCCGCTGCATATTACCCACCCGCCCTCCCCACCATAAATGCACATTGTTTCATACATAACTGCTTTTAAACTGTCTTTGAGGTTTGAGGGGGTGCGGGGGGGATTTTTTTTTTGTTTAAAACTTCTCAACTAAGCTGCTTCTGCTTAGTCTGCTTAAAAAAAAAAAACCCAAACAAAACGACAAAGAAAAAAAACAAACATCAGCAATATGTTATTAACTAAGACAAGTTCAAATAGTTCAGCCTGGGCCAGCTGAAGCCTTTGCAGGAGTCAAGACCATGAACTGGATAGCAGCACAGTTTCATATTCTGATCCAAAAAAAGGCCGTCGTCCAGTTAGAGGTCCGTGAGGGAGTGGAGCTCACTTCGGAGTTGACGCCCGAAGGCGGCTCCGCCTTTTTCCAGGATCAGCAGTGTCAGACTGAAGGAGGTCCATGAGGTAGCATCCCGCCCTAAAAACAGCTGATCCATAATCAGAGTACCCTTCAAGTTATCCCTTGGCGAGAAAACGAAAACAAACAGAAAGGAGGGGGGTGGATTCGGCGCGTCCCGCGTCAGAAAATGAATCAGCATCCGAAAGGCGATGTGCACCTCTGACCCGTTGCAAGGTTGCGACTGGGCTTCAGAGACAGACCATAATAAGTGCATGATGCATGGGCAACAATGCCGAGGTAACGTGGTCTGTAAGCGCCAGACCCAAAGTGTAGTGCAAAAGAAAGCAAACCAAATGAAAAAGAAAAGAGAGAAGAAAAAGGAGTTGATTACAGAAGTCAGTAGTGTCCACGAAACTCACAAACATGCATCCCTGAATGACTTTTGTGTCTCCTCTTGCTCACAAGAGGACGGGTTAATGTTGCTTTCGTCTGCACAGAGATTATATTTCTAAGGAGGAAAGAAAAAGTTTGCAGTTAAAGCATCATGGCTACCTGGCAAGAGGAGAACGGGTTTGATTCCCAACCTTTGTGAGGAAACGATGGGATGATTCAATCCTACAGTTGGCTTTTCAAATGTAAGAAACAGTTCACTGACCAATTTCAGCAAATTCTATAGAAAAGGGGCGAAGGGGGGGGTCCAAATTTCCAAATTTTCTTTTTGAATTTAAACATTCTTATGTTTTCCTCAGCAGTAGAATTCATCCAGAGCCCAAACTCCACTTATAAGCAGCAGCAGATCCGTGTGTAAAGTTCAGAAAAAAGGAGAGGTGGGGTGTTTTTTTTGGGGGGGATTATCAGCATGCTTAAGGAATTTCCATAAATTGTCATTGAACTAATGTCCTTAGTGGTATTTGTTAAGCTTTGGATATAAAAGCTAAACAAATGCTTGTTCAGCACCTGGCGGGTGCTGCGGATCACAAGGTGTCTGATTAGATGTTTCTCTGCAGTTCGTTGTTTTTTTTATTTAGGAGACCTCCTCATACCATCCCTCCGTTTGTGCTCACCCAGATACTGCAAAGTAAATTGGCACAAAAGAAAGCCCCGTCCGTGTTTAAATTGACATAAGCCGCGTGACTGAGGTTTAACATGTGTGGGTTGTTTAGTCCATTGGTTTGGATTCGTCATCAGTTTTCTCCTTTGTGTTTTCCTTGAGCTCGGAGGCAGCTAGCGCCAGGCTGTCGTCTCGCGGGGTCGTCGTTGACGCGTTATCCGGCTCCCCCGCGAATTCCTGGCCTCCTGCTTCCATCTTCATCATCAGCTTGAGCTTCTTCTTTGGGGGGTTCTTCAGGGTTCCCATGCGCTCCTTTACCTTGTACTCAAGGGTACTGTGAGGGATGCCGTACATGTTCTGCGCCTTAGACACGCTCATCTTCCCGCTCATCACTACTGCTATGGCTTCCTCCAGAATCTCACTGTTGTACTGCCGATAACGGCCCCTCTTCTTCCTTGGCTGCTTTGAGCTTGGGTCCACTTCCACGTCAGAGATAGAGTACGCCGGCCCCGAGGTGGAACTGTCCAGGTCAGAGTTCCAGTACTCGGCGGCTCCGTCCAGCAGGCTTCCCAGACTTCCACCCCGACGGTTCTGCTTGGGTAGGATGGCTCTCAGCTTTCGACTCAGACTGTTGTCACCATGGCCGCCTGCCCCGACCCCCATGGCTCCATAACCGTACAGCTCAGAGGCATGGGAGTCCCAGGAAAGATCCATTCCCCGTACTTGTGGGATCTTTAGGTCGACGGGCGGCGAATGGCCTTGCTCTCTCTTGCCTTCGTTGAGGTGATGCTGAGCCTTAGACACCTGATTGTGGCTGTGTTGGTGCAGGGAACTCTTATATGAGAAGGCTCCATGGTGGTTGTGGTGGTGATTTTCCAGGAATGTAGGCAGGTCTTTGAGGTCGTTTAGAGCTCCACCAGCCTGCTTCAGCTTCATCAGGCTTTCGAGGTGAGCCTTGCTTTCCCAGAGAGAAGCGGAGCCCTTTTGACTAAGTAAGGAGTGGGATTGGCCATGATTAAGCAAACCAGCCGACTCTAGATTGGCCAAAGAAAGAGCTGCTGGCTGGCTTAACAGGCGGTGCTTCTGGCTAAGTAGCTCCTCCTTGATGCGCAGCGAGCGGGCCAGCGGCGGCTTGAAGGAGTTGGAGATGACGTAGCTCTCCCTCAGTCCATCCTGCAAACTTTTTTGCAGTAGGCCATCCTCTTCTTCTACTTCTGACAGGGTGCGCTCTGCCTTCAGCAAATGTCTGCATGGAATAGAAGAACAAATTTCAGAACATGAAAAACCTAGACTTAAAGGTTTGGTCTGATTTCTGTTTATAGACTTGCTTTGTTTTTGTTTTCAAATTACAACAGCAACTATTTAGGGGGGTTGATTGAAAGTTATTTTCACTCAGACAAAATGGAGGGCATCCGATTCTTCCTTAGGTTGAAGTCCAGGTTTGACTGGATCATCCTAACACATGAGATGCTTTGTGACGGGCAGAACTCCATTGCAGCTCCGACTATATGCTGATGATGTTCTGCTTGATAGGAAACCTCTGACCCATTCTTATATCCTTTGCTGCCCTTGCACGAGTGGCTTTGATTTGGCCCTTTCACCTCTCAGAGGGACCCACTGCTGGATGATGTCATTTCAACATATATAGATTTAGATGGGGCTAGCTTTGGTCTCATATATAGAAAAATAGCTACTGGTTGCTGTCTTTTAGCAATGACATTCTCCTCATCACTCTTTAATTAAGACCAGGTTTTTAGCAGGTAGGGCAAGCGGTAAAGACTTGAACTTTACCTAAAATCATCATTTGATGACATGAGACTTCACTTAGTTGTATTAGTAAAGAATTGTGTCATGACTTTGAGTCCATCCAAATTTGGCAAATTTGCCTGATTTGGAATCAGCCTCTGAATTGTGCAACGAGGACTTGTGACTTGGCTTTGAGTTGAGCATGGGTACTTATAAAAACTTTATTAAGTCAAATATTTACCAAAAATAGTCAAATATTCAGTATAAAGTCGAATCTCTATCTGCATTGTTTCCTAATATTGTTTAATTTTCATTGAGACTGAGGTTCAATAGTAACTAGTTACGTTTACTTGGGAAACTTTCGTAAAAATGTACTTTTAGAAGTAGATGTACTTTATTGAACTTTTACTTAAATTGTTGTTTGAGTATTGCTACGCTCACTTGAGTAAATCTTCTGATTACTCCACCCACCATGAGTAACAGAGAGCAGGTAAAATTCACTTAACATTTGATGAGTGGTTCATAATTTCCTAACATCACCTAATCTAAAGATTGGATGAACAACTTTATGTGAAAAGATGATGGCAAGGTGTTTTTTCTCTGTATAAATCTGTCATTTTTTAATCATGTCACTCTTTTTGTGTTTTTTTTTTTCATTTTATACTTTGAAATATCATTTTTTTTGTCTGATGACATCATTTTAAACATTAAAATAATTAGCCATCAATTGCAACTGCTATTCAACATTGAGTCGCAGTTTTACAAAGTACTTTCTTTTACTCTTTAAAAAGTAAAACTTTGCTTGAGGAAAATGTTGAGGTACCTTATCAACCTCTGCCCCACTTATTTGTAGGACCAATACTTATTTGGGTGCTTTTAAATCTGTTCTAACTGGCCTTTCCTTTCCATTGCATGGCCATGTATTTGTAGGCTAAATGTTTAAACAGGGTTTATGTAGGATGAGAATGAGCAACTCTAATTTAATGCTTTTTAATGTTCTTTTAAAGGGGAAAACCGTTTTTTTTTTAACATTGGGCCCTTGATTTTACGTTATTACATCATGTTCTATTCACCCATTTGAGTCTTGTGTAATTCTGAGCCGTTCTGAAGATATTCTGTTAGGTTACATCCAAGTAACGTCTTCCTATCGGCAACGACTTAAAGGCACAAACTAAACTGTTCATAATTTATCATTTATGGTACGCCAGCATTCATAACATGTAGGTGAATCACTGTCTCCCAGACATTCGCGGTTATATTTTTTATATGTATATCTTTTTAAAATAAAGCGGCGCGTGTATGGCGATAATTTATCCGACTCGCGGGCATCCGTGAACAACTATCGTACCGGGGAGACTCCTGGAACTTCCTGGAGACTTGGAATGTCTGCCATACTCTAGCTTTTTCTCCGCAACAAGCTTATTTTCACAACATACGGCTTTACGATCAAATGCAGTTCCGTGCAAACCACTTATATCTGAAATAATATATCTGACGAAATTGTTTTTCTCCTCAAATTTCGAACGTCTCTGGTCTTTGGTTCTCCTGATGCCTGATGTTCTCCAAAGTTTTCTAACAAACCTCTGAGGTCAGAAACAGTAGAGCTGCATTTATACTAACATGAAATGACACACAAATTTATTTACAAGAGAAGTATGCTACTGAAGATTCTCAGTCATCCAGGTCTTAGTCATTCCAAAAAAGTTACCGTACGTTTCAAATTTGGAAAACAAAGTCGAGTTTTTTTTTTATTTTTTACTTTTTTGGATTTCTAGGGAAGTATGATATAACGGCTTTAAAATTGGTTTTAGCCAATTATTTCTAAGAATATCTGTCCATTAAGCAACCCTGGGACGACATTAAAGTTTGATATTTATTTCCATGCAGTTGCTGTTTTTATTTCAGAAACGGTATTTTTTGGTCATATGCCAGTGATTGAGGTGCAGCAAAGGATTGTGGGTGTTTTAACATAGCAGAGAAACAAAGTCAGCACTGTAGTCAGCCTTCCATTGTCTCTAAATGGCATAGAGATTAATATCTGTAAATATAGTTTATCAGATATTAACGTAATTTTGATATTGGCCGAGATTTTCATATCGGTACATTCCAGAGATGGGGACTCGAGTTTGTTACTCGTACTGGGGTTGTGCTTAAGTCGCATATTTAATGACTTTAGACTCGACTTAGACTTGCATTTGAAGGACTTCAGACTCGACTGAGACTCGTGATTTCTGACTTGTGAACAATATTTTATTTCTAAGTGTTTTTTGTTTTACTAACTTGACTGATCGCCGCTCGCCTTACCCGCACACAGCAGAGGTAAAAAAACGGCTGTCAAACTGTCACGTAGCACTGACGTCGCTGACGCAACGCTACGTGACATATATGCCCGTGCGCCCGTGCGCATGCATGCACGATCGACAAGCCCAGCTTTAAAAACTTTATGGCAGTCATAGAGGAGAAATATGTTGTGAATAATGTTGTGAATTGGCACTAAATAAATAAACTGAAATGAATTTAAAATACTGTCCACCAAGTTAGTTCTGTCTGTTCCAGGGCATTAAGTTACAAAAAGTTATTGCCACAATGTTTCTTTTATGAAATAATTGTTATTGTCCTGCTATTTATTTAGGGTTTTTCTTTATCTGTTGTAGTTGCTAACTTCATATGTATTAATAAAAAGCAGGATTGTGATTGTTTTTTTTTCCACAGCCCTTATTTTCACTTAAAAATAAAAGAGCAGACATTTACTCCTAAAACTAGAAAAAGTTGTTACCACAAATGTCAGGTAGATACTGTAAGAAAATAGTTGTTTTTGAAAGAAAAAAATAATGATGCAAAATTTAACTGGGAAAAAAATGTGTGTGTGCTTTTTTAATTTGTATTTTTCATTTACCAGTTCAAGATAATGATCATTCCATAGATATAATAGTGACCTTTAAGCTATACCGTCTCAGATGAAAGGAGAAACAAGCAAGCACAAAAATTATTGCACTTATTTTAATTAATCGAGTGATTAGAATTTATTGTGCGATTAATTGATAATTGACTTGAGACTTGACTTGGACTTGCAAAAAAATGACTTGTGAACATGTCTGGTGCATTCCTATTGTTCACTATTTATTTGACCGTTTAGTGTAGCTGTTTATGTTGGATTTAAATTACGGGCACTAAAACAAAGAGTGTATAATAGAAATGTATGCTACATGTGTAGGACCGTTATCTGTTAAAGGTTTTTTGTTTTGTTTTTCAAATTTTTAGCTAAATGCAACTATATGTGAATCCGTAACATAGAATCCAATAAAATACATCAGTGTTTGTAGCTGTAACATGACTAAATATTTTGCAAGGTATGGTTTACTTTATATCTATTCGAATTATTCAAATCCCTCAATGATACATTAAACAAAATGCAGGCCTGGATGCGAAATTCTTGTGGCATCTTGCATTTCTAATTTGCATATATGTCTGAAAGACGTTCATATGTCAAGTGCCTTTACTGGACCTATAGCAGCCGATGCGCCTCCTGCTAAGTAACTATAGCAACAGCTGAAAAGCTCTTTAAAGGTACTCCCATAGGTTCATAATCACAGGAAAGAGCATGGACGGCATATGAGGGATGGAACTTCAGGGACCTCTCTCCTGGAGACGTATTATTCAAAAACACAATGTCACTGGCTGCTGTGTGGGGAGTCCACAGCAGGAGATTTAACTCAGCTTATCACTGTGGGCCATCTTAAGTCTGTTGAAAACAATACAGGGCTAATATGGGCCATCGAAGCCTGTTTCAGTCAGCATGCAGACATGTGGGTGATGCTTCAGACAGTAATGGTGGATCTGTGGTTTTTATTCCAAAGGGACAGTTCAGGATTTTTTTTTTAAAGAGTGTAAAATATGTGAGTATGCCTCTCTAGAGTCTTCCTTTAAAATAATGCACATTAGTTCTTGAAAGATAAAACTAATCAGAAAATGGATCAAACCCAAAGCAGCTTTCTATCACCTTAAAGGATCCATATTATGTCAAATTAATGGTCTTGTCTAACCTGCAAAAATTTGTTGTTTTTTTTTTGGTACAAAATGTATGGAATTCATTTTTGTTTCATTATTGTTGCATGCAATGAACATGTTTTGCAAATAAAACAAACAAAAAAAAAGGACAAAATGTTTGTAAATATAAACACAAAACAATTGCAATCCAGAAATGAAAAAAAAACTCTTTGATCTTAAAAAACTTTTTCTCAGATTTTATGTATTTTTCATTATTTTCTATTTCCTTTTTACAGATTTTACATTTTTAATCCTATTTTTTTATTTCTCTTTTTACGAAATTCCATGTTTTTTCAACTGCGTTGCACAGATCACATTCTCTCTACTTTAAGTCCAGTCCGAATGCTCGCTCATTAGAATGTTGTTGCTGACGACGATGCAAACCAAAATAAATTTGTCTTCTTCAAAATAATTTTGTAGAATAGAATTAGTAAAACTGAATCTGAAATCGCA